AAAGGTCCAGTGTGTCACATTGAGGAGGATCTATCCACAGGTGTGTTTTCATTAGTGTTTAATTACCTGAAAATAAGAATCAGAAAGAGCTGTTTTTATCTATTCCTCTTTCACACCCATGCTCTACCTGATGGCCATACTTCATGTCAAAGAAAGAATATTTTTTTTTTGCATTTGAACCCGGACTGCTGCAGGAAGGACTCGGCCCTTTGTACATGAGGCACTCGCTCTAACACCTCTGTCTCTCTCTCGACTTTGTACCTTTCAGTGTTGCTTTCTTCAGGACTTTCATGGCGTACAGCTGACCGGCGTCTGGCCCTGTGATCTTCCTCACCAGAAACACCTAAACACACACGGAGGGAAAAAGCAAGTCAATTTAATGATGTATTTATTTATGTATTTATCTTTTTAAGAAATCTTTTTCCAGGAGCTTTTCAGGACATTTTCCAGGACTATCAGCACTTGCTGTCATTTAATTTACCAGTAGGTACAGTATCGACACATTTAACTCAAGTTTTATTTCTCCTTTTGTAATGATGCAGGATTCATGATGAAGTGTCTCAGGTTCATTAGAGTTAGGTGTTAGCTCACTTTCATGGCTGTTTTCACCCCAGACGAGTGTAGTTTACTACAGTTTTCCTTTAAAAGTAACATTAATTTAATTTAAATCTTATTTTACAGAAAATTCATCTTCTAGAAAGTGAAAATGTTCAATGCTATGTTATTTTTATTTTTTTTACTTCTTTTGAAGATAAATTACTAAATTACAATTCAAATTGTTCCAGGACAACATAGATTATTCCCAGGATATCTGGTCATTGTAATCAAGACTTGTGTCTAAACTTCCAGGTTTTCCAGGATGTGTGTGTGTGTGTGTCCCTGCAGAATGTAGTGTTTATTACATGTACTCTTCTCTGTGTGTGTTCGTGTGTCTCTCTAAGAGTTTGTTTGGGTTAGCCCATTTTTCTAGGTCATACTTATGTAGATTAACATTAACAGAAACAGAAACA